CACGGTCTAAATCCATTCCCCTTGTCCCAGCGCTCCAGGCCTTTATCCAAAGTCCCTCTCTCCATCCCTGTATTTAAAGTTGTTCAAAGCAAGGAAACTCCATCCCCCTCCCAGCTCTGCAATCCCCCAAACTCCCCCTGATTCACAAAACAGACTGAAGTGTCCTAATCCAGGGCTTCCAAGACCATTTGCTCTCATCCCTCGATGGAGCTCCAGGAGGCAGAGCGGCTCCTATCCCAATTCTGCCGGTTTGAGCGGATCTGGGAGCCGGAGTTTGATTTCACTCTGGTGCAAAGGATCCCTCTCTCCATTTCCCACTCCACCTCCAAACCCAGAGCTGTTTTCCACGAGGATTTCATGGTTGGCTCCATGGCTTCCTCAGCCCAGCTTTCCCTGAGGTGCTCCCATCTCCTTCATCTTGGGATCTCAGACAATAAATCTGGCTCAGGACCAGCTGTTTCTGACACCTGCATTTCGCAGCTGTCAATTTGTAGCCCATGAAAGCCTCATCTAAAAACACTCTGCATCCTTGGATTCCACATTCCTTATTCCTAAAGGCCTAGGAATTTTAGTTTCTTTAAAAAAAGGAGGGAAAAGAGAACTTTTTTAAAGTATGTATCACAGAGAGTCAATTCCACAACACGATAAACGTTATAAAATAATGAAATACAAAAATGAGTGGGAGGAGCAATTCCAGGAGGATTGTTGATATAATCCTGCAAGAAGAAAGTCGATTACATGACCAGGATTGTTCTCCTGGATTAGGAATGGTTTAATTGTTCTCCTGGATTAGGAATGGTAAAGATTGTGCCCATTGTTAAATGGGCTTTAGAGCAGAAAGGCAGGGAAAGAGATTTATCATGCAACTGCCAAATCAGGGAATCCTGGAATATCCTGAGTTGGAGGGATCCTAAGGATCATCCAGCCCTGGGCATCCCTGGCAGCGCTGCCCAAACGCTCCTGGAGCTCCGGCAGCCTCGGGGCCGTGCCCATTCCCTGGGGAGCTTTTCCAGAGCTCATTCCTCCCTCTGGGGGAAGAACCTTCCCTGAAATCCATCCTAAACCTTGTTGGCACATCTGAATTTTCTCCAGTTCCCTGAGCCTGACTCCCACTAGGGACACTTTGGATCAGTTTGTCCCTGCTCAAGCCAAGCCTCAGCTGCCCAGTCCAGGCTGGGTTTGAGCTGTTGGTCCCAACTGGATCCACAGGAACTGGGATTCTGCAGGGGAGCAGGGAGTGGGAGCAGCTCCACACGGAGACACACGTCAGGGTTTGGGGTTCTGCTGATTGTGACAATATTCAGTAAAGAGAGAAATGAGGGAAAATGAGGGGAATTGTGAGAGGAGCAGCTGAGGGCACCGGGGTTGTGCAGCTGGAGACTGAGGGGAGACCTCTCTGTGGTCTTCATCATCCTCCCGAGGGCAGCTCCCATTTCAGTTCCCTGGGACAGGGACAGGAGCCAGGGAGCAGCTGGAGCTGGGCCAGGGATGGGCTCAGGCTGGAGATCAGGGAAGGTTCTTCCCCCAGAGGGTGGAATGAGCTCTGGAAAAGCTCCCCAGGGAATGGGCACAGCCCCGAGGCTGCTGGAGCTCCAGGAGCGTTTGGGCAGCGCTGCCAGGGATGCCCAGGCTGGGATTGTTGGGGGTCTGGTCAGGGCAGGGTGGGGCTGGGTGATCCTGGGATCCTTGGGAAACCTTCCCACTCAGAATATTCCATGATTCTCTGCCATCAAGAACAGACCATCCTTTAGAGCTTGTCTGAATCCCAGATATTTTCACCAAGTCATTCCAAATCCATCCTTGGGAATGAAGACAACGCAGGAGCCACTCCTCAATTTTATATTCTCACCTGGATAACTCTGATTATATTCCAGTCAGAACAATGAAGGAAAAGCAGGAATAACACAAACACTTCCTAGGAATTCTCCCTCTGTGATGCACAAATGGAATATTTGTCCATGAGCCGAGCAGCCCAATTTCAGATACAAAACTTCCAAAGAAATCTCTTTTTTTTTAAGGAAAATCAATCTGCGTGGCTAAAAATGTCAAAGAAATTACTTTAAACACCGCCACAGTTTTTTTATGGAGTATCCAGTGGATGAATTGACTTTGTCATTAGGTTTTTTTGTCATCAATTAAGGTTGTCATTAATTAAAGAGATTCTTGTCCAGTGGAGTCAATGAAGGAATTTGTGCTGGGAATCGATAGGCCACGAACAACACAGTCAGGAGCTGTTTATTTTTTATGAACATATCTGAGCACACGAGGAATCAATCTTTAATCATCCCAGAGGATCAACTCCTCAGGAAATCCAGAATTCCAGGGCTTTAAGAAAATAGTGTTTTCCAGCAAAAGACATGGAATAAACCTCCTTTTATTGGCAGCACCAGGGTGGTTCCAACCTTCTGGAATAAAAATCTTCCCTCATTTACAGCCCCCTTTTGTTTTTCTATCTCCTTTGGGCACACAGATTCCTAAATATTCCAAGGAAAAAAGGAGTCCTGTCCCAGAGAAACCTCCTGTGCTCCAAGTTGCCTGAGAGTGGATATTCCCTGCTTAATTAATTACAGGATAATGCAAATAAATGCCCCAGGGACTGCTCCCATCTTTCCTTGGAGCTTCATAAATATTCCCAAACCACTGGAAGATTGTTATTCCAACTTGGCCAAAGCCAATTCCCCACTTGAGTTTCATCCTATTCTTTGTGAGGGAAAGGGCTTCGATAATGAGACTTTTTTTCCCTTCAAAAATTAATTTTCCAACCAAATCCTGGTTCTTACGGATATTCCAGCTCTGGACATAGGAATTGAGGCACGGGATTGTGTTTTATGGTTGTTTCTTGTGGATTTTCTCTTGGAAGCCTCAGTCTTGGCTTTTTCATGGAAAACAGCACAGGCTTAGTGTTAGGGATCAGCTGCACCAGGAATTTTGGGAAGTGGGGATGAGGATTTGGCTCTTTCCCTTCCAGGGGAGCTGAAGTGATTCCCAGATCTCCAAGGGAAAAAGTCTTGGTTGCTTCCAGCTTGGAATTGGAGCATCTCCAGTTCAGTGTTGGAGTTTCCAGTACCCCAAGACGGTATAGGAATTAAATCCTTTTTTCAGGATGTCCTGGGTTCCATTTATTTTCAGTTATTTCCATATTTTTCAGCCCAGGTTGTCGGTGTTTCCCAAATTTGGGAAGCAGCTCCTGGAATTATGGCTTCATTTCTAATGCTGGGTTGGCTTTCCAGGTGGGAAAAACAAAGTTGGATGTGGCAGATCCTGAATTTCTTTATTTAAATCAATATATTTATATATTTATTATTTATATATTTGTATCTTGATATATTGACATATTTCAAATTTTATTGATGCATGTTGATCAAAGATCTTTATTTTATATATTTTTATTTGCACATTTCTTAATTTCTTAATTTATATATTTGTGTTTATATATTTATATACTTATATACTTACATATTTATATAATATATATTTATTTATTCCACAGCAGAGCTGGAAAATCAGGCTTGTTTTCCATCCAACACAGAGACAATTTTCTGTTGTTTTGGGTTTTTTATTCCCCCCTGGTTTCCATGGAGAAAAATAAGGATTAGACCAGAGCTGGTGTTGATTGCGAGGGGAAAAAAAAATAAAAATCAAAATCTGTGTTGCTTCCTATGGAGAAATATCAATATCCAACCCTGGCTTTGGAGGGATAATCCTGCAAGGAAAAACCAAATTGTTTTCCTTTCCAAAAGGAGAAAATAATAGAGATTTTATTGCTTCTGGAAGGAAGGGCAAGAATTCAAAGCAGAGGCTGAATTCAATAGAAATTCACGTCTGGTTTGGATAATTGTGAATTTCCATCATTAATTATTGAAATTCTTTGGGAAATCTGTTCCTGTGGTTCCTTAGCCAAAGAATAGGGAATATTTTTACTTTGCAGATATCATTGGCATAATGACATAAAAATGTGGCTTAAAAAGCTTAATTTTATTTATTTTTTTAAAACTTAAAATAAACTGGCCCTCGGTCCTTGGCTGTAATCCCTGCCTGGTGAGCATCCAAGATCCCCCAAGAATTGGGGGAACTCCCCACTTTTCCACACATCCAAGAGCCTGGAAGCTCTTCTTTCTCTGGAAGAAATATTCCTGATTTTTGGTGTGGTTTGTTACAGAAATTCTCCGTGGTGGGATAACTCGGGAAGTTCATTCCTTGTTTCACTTCTAATTCTTTCAGAATTTTGAAGGTTGCCCAGCTCCACTCTGCTTTCTAATGTGGAGACAAATCCCAAAAAAATCTCTGACCTTTGAATCTTTTGGATTCCAGGCTTCCAGGACAGCAATTTTGAAAGGAAAAATAAAGATCTTTCAGATCTTTCTTGACAAACCAGTTTTAAGCGTAAAAATCAGATTTTCAAAGAAATGGAGAATTTTAAATGTAAGAAATGCCACAGGACCCGATGGGTGTTTCTGGGTCACCACAAGCCAGCCCTTGGTCCTTGGCTCTAATCCCTGCCTGGTCAGCTTCCCAAATCCTCAGGAAATGGGGAAACTCCCCACTTTTCCTGCCCCAAAACACATCCAAGAGCCATCAGACCTCTAGAAGAAATATTCCCAATATTTGGTGTGGTTTGTTACAGAAATTTTCCGCGGTGGGATAACTCGGAAAGTTCATTCCTCATTGTACCTCTAATCCTTTCGGAATTTTGAAGGTTGCCCAGTGTCTGCTCCCGCACTTTTCCTGCCCCAAAACACATCCAGGTGCCATTGGATTTCTGCAGGGTGAGGATGGGCAGCTGGCAGAGAGCAGGGAGGAGGTCTCTGGAAGAAATATTCCAAATTTTTGGCGTGCTTTGTTGCAGAAATATTCCATGGTGGGCTAATTCCAGAACTTAAACCCCTCGTTGTATTCCTCATTGATTCTCTTGGAATTTTGGTGGTTGCCCGGGTCTGCTGTGCTTTCTAAATTGAGGCCAAATCCCCAAATCTCTGACCTTTGAACCCGTTGGATTGCAGGCCGGGCAGCAGCGCTGGTGGGAGCAGGAGATCACGGTGAACGGGAACATCCAGAAGGGGGAATTGATCACCTACAACCTGACGGAGCTGATCAAGCCCGAGGCCTACGAGGTGCGCCTGACGCCCATTACCCGCTTCGGGGAGGGCGACTCCACCATCCGGGTCATCAAGTACAGCGGTAAGGATCCGAAATCCAGGGAAATGCGGCGTTGGGAATGTTCCGGGTCTCCCGGAAGGGTGGGGTTGTTCCCAGTCCTGGGATAATCTCTGGTCGTCCCAAAAGGAAAGGGAGAAATGGGGAGAGAGGAAAATCCTCACCTCTCGTAACAACAAAAAATGCCCAGCCAAAATAATTCTGGACAGCCAAAACCGCATCCAATCTTTTTGTGGGAAATAAGGGAAAATTGGAATAAATCAACGCCAATTTCATCAAACAGCAGATGTAGAGTTGACTCTTGTTTTGAAGGATGAGTTTGGAAGAAAAATCTGCAAACGAAGTTGGTTTTTTTCCCCCCAGAATGAGCAGTTTTTATTTTAATGTGAATTATTGTCCTTTAAAAAACAGCGACTGTTTGTGCTCCTATGCAAGGTTATAAAATCTATAAATTTATATAAGAAATAATGGAAGGGCTTTATAAATTTCCCCCTAAAAGGTCACCATGACAAAGATTAATCCACTGAAATGTAACCAGAGAAAACACAGTATCCATACATCCTCTTTCCCATATTCCCAGAAATTCAATCCTCTATTAAATCCCTCCAAATACCCATTTTGGGGTGTTTATTTCATGAATAACCAAATTCCTTCCTCCTTTCCTTTTTCCTTTCTTTCCTTTCCCCTTTCCTTTCTTTCCTTTTTCCTTTCCTTTCCCCTTTCCTTTCCTTTCCTTTCCTTTCCTTTCCTTTTTCCTTTTCCTTTCTCTTTTCTTTTTCCTTTTCCTTTCTCTTTTCTTTTTCTTTCTCTTTCTCTTTTCTTAAAAAATTGCAATGGAAGGACAAGAGGGACATTAAAGAGGAGGATGAAGAATCCTGGAGCAGTTTGGGATGGAATGGGATGTATTTAGGGGGAATTTTTATTCGTTTTAGCGGGAATTTCATCACAGGGAGATGGTGGCAAACAAGGAATTCTGGAAGCATCACATTTAGGGGAGAGATTTTGGTTTAGGAGCTGGACCAACAGGACGAGGGGTGATGGTTTTAAATAAAACAGATTCAGTTTTGGTCTAAGGAAGAAATATTTTAGGGTGAGGGGAAAATCCTGGCACGGGTTCAGGGAATTTGTGGCTGCCCCTGTATTCCTGGAATTGTCCAAGGCCAGATTGGAAGGGCTTGGAGCACCCTGGGATTCCCTCCCTGCAGGGCCTGCCCCACCCTGAGAAAGGCACGGATTTTCCAAGCATTTCAGCCAGCTTTGGGAATTTAGGGCCTCAAATATCCATGAAATTCCCTTTCCTGGTTAATTCATCCTCGGTGATGTGCACACAGCAACCTCTCCTCAGCCATCACACGTTGTCCTGCAGCTGTGCTGCTCCAAAAGTGGGAATTTTGGGGTTTTTTTCCTGGTTTTTTTCGGGATTTTTTCCCCCCAGGTCTATAGCTGGATAAATTCAGCTTAACCACCTTCATTTTCCTGTCTGCTTTCATGCCTCGGTGTGGCACACAGAGCTGGTTTTGCTCTGCTGGGAGCAATCCCAATGGTGTGACTGGAGGTGACACCTGATGAGATTTTCCATCCAAACCCCTGCATTTAGTTACAAATCAAGCCTCAGTCAATGCAGCTGCCAGAAATTGCAGCTAATTCCAGGCTCAATCACTCAGGGATCCCGTAAAATTGAGGTTTTTTTGGAGAATCAGAGGTAATTTGTAGGTGAAAGATGTAAAAATTGGGTTTCTCAGGGAGATGACACCGGAGCAAATCACTGCTCGTGTTTCAGGTAAAGTGGTGCTAATTTAGAGCTGGTTTGGAAACTCCGGATTGAATTTAGGATTTGGCTGGATTTTAGGCTGGGATTAAAGCAAGGAAAGGCAGCAGGAAAACCTGGAGTGGTGCTCTGGCATTGCCAGATGTCCCCATTAACTGGAGATAAAACTTAATTTTGGATTTTTCTGTGAATAAAATTCAGTTCCAGCCCTGAGCTCATCCTCCTTCTGCTTCCCACATGTGTGGGGCTGTGGCAGGAGGGCCTTTTCCTAAATCACCCATCCTCAAATTTATCCTTCTGCAAAGACAGCCACAGGAGAATCCCTCCTTCAATCCCATTCCCAGGTTTTAGCACTGCACAGATTCCTCTGGATTAACCTGGGAAGCCATTCCCGTGCTCATCCATTACCCAAGCCATTAGGATATTGTGAAGGTTTGGATTTCACTCTCTTCCACCCTTAAAGGTGTGAAGTAGATTCATTTCAATATAATATAATATAAGGGGAAATTTAGGATAATCTGCAAATTGACAAATTAATTGCATTAATTTTATTTTCCCTCTGTTTTCCAGCTCCAGTGAATCCACACCTCCGTAAGTATTCAGAGTATTTATTATTTTGTTTTTGCATTTCAAATGCAAATTTGAAGTATTTTACTTCCAGTTGCAGCTCACGGGTGGCAGGAAGTACCTGGAGGTGTCATTTGTGATTCCTCTTGTTCCAACGAGGAAAAAGGAAGGAAAATCACAGCTCCAGCTCCTCTTCCTCACTGCCCCAGAGAGTTCATCCAAAGGAAAATATTCCTGGGATAAAATTCAGGTCCAGCTGTGCTGGAGTAGCTCAGGAGGTGTTGGGGATGCTGTGGGAGATCATGGAAGGGCAGGAACACCTCCCACTGTCCCAGGCTGCTCCAAGCCCTGTCCAGCCTGGCTCTGGACACTTCCAGGGATCCAGGGGCAGCCACAGCAAATCTGGGAATTCCAGCCCATCCTTCCCCATTCTCCCAGCCAGGAATTCCTTCCCAATATCCCATCTAAATCTACCCTCCTTCATCTTCAAGCCATTCCCTGTGTCCTGTCCCTCCATCCCTTGTTCCCTGTCCCTCTCCAGCTCTCCTGGAGCTCCTTCAGGCTCTGGAAGGTTCTCTAAGGTCTCCCCAGAGCCTTCCTTGTGGTTCCTGAGTTATCTCCATGCTTTTTAGGGCAGATTGAAACCAAAAAGAAGGATGTTCTTCCCCACAGAGGTTCAGGAATCGCGGATTCATTGCAGAGAAATGAGGAGACCCCAAGTGAATCCTGGCTCTCCCCAAATCCTCAGGACACAGCTCCCCAGGCACGGCTGGAAACGCAAACTCTGCCATGATCGGGGATGTCCCAGGCTGGAAAAGGCTTCAGTCACACTTTGTTCTTTCACATTTTCATGGAAAATCCCTGCAAACATCCAGGCAGGAGACGGAGCTTTGGCACATCGCAGTAAAACCACCCTATTCCCACAGTCCCACCTCTCCTTACTCCATCATGTTCTCCCAAACCCAAACAAATCCATATTTTTTGTTACAACATATTCTTGTTTTTAATAGCACATCCCAAAATTATTTCCTGCCTAAGGAATGAGGTCTCCCATTTTTCCCTGCAGGCAGGAGCAGGCTCTGCTCCATCCCTCAGACTCAGCTTTAAGCCTTTGTGTAAATTCTAAACGTATTTGCAGAAGATCTTGTCCAACACGTTAATAATTAAGCAGGGCTTAGCTCAAAGCTCCCAGGAGCTGCAGGAACCTCTCCCATGGAGCCTAACGAGCAGGGAATGAAGCCCTTGCTAATTAATACATTAAATCTAGGCTCTGATGGGAAGAAAAAATACAATCCCAAGTGTCTCACGCTCCTCTAGGACTTTAAGATCTCAAACTAATTTTCCAAAAGTCTTGTAGGATCATGATGGAATGTGGGTGGCATCCAAATGGGAATAAGGAATGTGTCAGCTCAAGGGAGGGATGGGGAAGTTTTTCCACCAAAGTTGCAGGGTCCCCAGGGTCACTCCTTTCAGGTGGCCAAAGCCACGGTAGAATTCTGCTTTGCTGGTTTTCCCTGAAGATTTTTTGAGCGGAATTCCTCGGTAGGAAAGAGATCCCGGCCTGCATCCAATCGCCATTCCCCAAGGCCACCACTGCCCCATGGCCCCAGGTGCCACCTCCACATGGAATTAAATCCCTCCAGGGGTGGGCACTGCAAACCTCCCTGGGCACTTCCAAGGCCTGAGCGCCCTTTCCATGGGGAAATTCCTGCTGCTGTCCCCCCTGAGCCTCCCCTGGCCCAGCCTGAGGCCGTTCCCTCTGCTCCTGTCCCTGTTCCCTGGCAGCAGAGCCCGACCCCCCCGGCTGTCCCCTCCTGCCAGGGACTTGTGCAGAGCCACAAGGGCCCCCTGAGCCTCCTTTGCTCCAGGCTCAGCCCCTTCCCAGCTCCCTCAGGGATTCTCCAGCCCCTTCCCAGCTCCCTCAGCAATTCTCCAGCCCCTTCCCAGCTCCCTCAGCAATTCTCCAGCCCCTTCCCAGCTCCCTCAGCAATTCTCCAGTCCCTTCCCATCTCCTTTTTCTGTGCTTCCTACAAAATCTCTGTTGCTCCTAAAGCTGTTGGGCCAATTTCTGGTTTTATTGATGCTGTGGGAATGAAGAGGACAAGATTCCTGACTGGAAACTGAAGTCATGCCCTTCCTGATTCACTTCTGGAATAATCCCATTCCCTAAATCCTTCTTTTTGGTGCAATCTCTGCGATACCCAAGCAAGAAGCATCAAAAGACTTTAACTCTGAGGTGGAGCCTCACATCTCCAATTTCTCCCACCTAGCAGAAACCATTTAATGCAAACCAGAAGGATTTTAGATCAATTTCTACAATTAGAGGTCAGCCCTGAATAACAGGAGAGAGAAGATGTTCGGGACTCACATCCAACTTGGATTTTATGGGAATAGACGACACAAATCCACACTACAATGAAGGGTCTCACCTCCAGCACAGCTTCAGCTTTTGCCTTAATTGGCAAGGAAATTATTAACGACCTGAATCCACTTCCAGAGCTGCCATGTGCCCTGACAAAAACCACCACTCTCATTAATGTTAATTAGCACCATCGTTAGGGCCGTGGCTGGAGCACCTGTGGAAGAGCTGCTTGTTCCTCCTGCCCTCCTGCTCATTAATTAACAGATCCAGACCACGCAGATCTATTTAAATGCTCCTACAAAAGTATGGAGAAAAGCCTGGAGAGCTTTATTCCCATTTTTCTTCTTCCCTCATTTTTTAAAGAGTGTTCAGTGCCAAGAACGTTTAGCACTAACCTTTTCCAAGGTATTTCACATGAAATCAATGTTTGACTATTAAATAAAAGGCAAACTTTGACTCTTTTTTTTTTCTTCCCCCTCTGTCCTGAATATTTATTTTAATTTTTTTTTCTTCACCTGAGGAAAAAATTTTTTATTCTGCTGATGTGGAATTTCTTAATGAAGCTCTGAGGGCACAAGAAGTCAATGCAGCTTTTAAGGCACGGGAGGGACAATGCAGAAAGTGCTGAATGGCTTAAAATTCTTTCTGTTGTTCCCTTTGCTCCAGGACTGGATCTGGGAATCAAAACTTTTCTCCTTCACTTAAATTCTGCCTTTTCATTTCATCCCTTTGTGTGGAAGCAGCAACTTCTGTGCTTCAGGAAGATGCAAAAGTGGAGGTGGAAGAAAAATCCACAAAATGTGGGGTAAACTAAGAGAATTTGGAGCTCAGGTGGTGTAAGAAGAATTCTTGGAGGCGAGAGGCACAGCTGGCACTTTGTTCAGAGAGCTTCGTTTGAGTCCTGGTGTATTCCGAGAGTTTTGGCCGGGTCTTCGAATTCTCTTCCCAGTCTTGGGATGAAGATGGAGATGTCGATCTCCAACTTCTCTCCTGCAGGGTTTGGGTGGAACCATCAAAGCATCAGGGACTGCTTTGGGTTGGTGGGACCTGAATCCCATTCCAGCCCTACCATGGCAGGGACAGCTCCCACTGTCCCAATGTCCAGCCCCAATGTCCAGCCTGGCCTTGGGCACTGCCAGGGATCCAGGGGCAGCCACAGCTGCTCTGGCAATTCCAGCCCAGCCAGAAATTCCCTCACTGGTCCCAAGCCAGCTCCCATCACGGAGGTCACCAGGGATAACCAGGATCTTGGTCCTGTCAGCCGGTGAAGGAGCTGTGCTTTAGGGAATGGATGCTCCTGGAGGATCTGCTGGATTTACTGGGAAACCAAATCAAGCAGCTCGAGGAGCTGATAGCCAAGGAAGTTTCTGGGAACTGCATTCCAGTGATAACCTGGTTTTGTAGGATTGTGGTTTATACTGGCAGTTTTGGAGGGGCACAGAATTCCAGCATGGATCAGGCTGGAGAGACCCCAGAGGGTCCCTGGGGCCACTCCCTGCTCCAGCAGGGCCATCCCAGAGCCCAGGGCACAGGAGTGTGTCCAGGTGGCTCTGGAATATCCCAGGAGGAGACTCCAGCCCCTCTCTGGGCTCTGCTCAGGGCTGGGCACTGCCCAGGGCAGACGTTCTGCTCCTGTGCAGGGGGAATTCCTGGGATCGGCCCCTGCCCATGGCTCTGGTGCCACTGCTGGGCCTGGGGCAGAGCCTGGGGCTGGGGCAGAGCCTGGGCCTGCTCTGCCCCTCCCTGAGCCCAGGGACGGACAGGGACGGACAGGGACGGACAGGGACGGACAGGGATGGACAGGGATGGACAGGGATGGACAGGGATGGACAGGGACAGCCAGGGACAGCCAGGGCTGAGCCCCCACTCCACTGGGGCTCCTCTCCAGGCTGAGCAGCCCCAGCTCCCTCAGCCTTTCCTGGTCACGGAGATGCTCCAGCCCTTCCTCATCCTCACATCCCTCCTCTGGAGCAGATCCAGGAGCGCCAGGTCTCTATGGAGCCCACAGCTGGACACAGCACTCCAGATGTGCCCAGGGCTGAGCAGGGATCCCTCCCAGCCTTCTCCCTGATCCACCCTGGACCCCTTTGGCCTTGTGCTGTTCTTTGGAAAGGCGGGGGGAGAACCAGGAATATTTGGAAATAGCTCCGAGCGCATCCTGCGGTTTGAAGGGAATTTTCCAAGCTTATTTCTGAGCCTGCAGCATTACCTGAGTGTTGCAGCACTAAGCTCCAGGTCCCTCTCTCCTCACTGATTAACAGGGAAGCTCCAGTGGCTTAAGTGGATTTAGAGCTCCCCAAAACCCCAAACCTGCAAACATTTATCCACCTTCTCAGTTTAACAGGGATGAGCAATCCCCTGACAGCCAGAGTTTAAGTTTCTCCTACCAATGAATATAAATTGCACCCCTCCAAGCTGACACCGTGTGCAGGCAGCTGCCTCCTCCCTGGAGAAGGGAGATTTCCTTCTTTTCTCAGATAAATCAATGGACTTTGCAGGAAGAGTAAACTCAGCAGGAATTGTTCATGCAGTGAAATTCAGCTTTTGCACGTCTTACTCCACGGGGCCTCGTTTTGCTCTGAGCGAGACCTGAACCTCCAAGCTGGGCTTTGTTTTGGTTCTTAAATTACAGGAGGAATTTCTCATCCCATGGTAACCCAGCGGGGCGGATCACTGGGATCACTGGGCTCCCACAGCTCAGATGGGATGCAGGAGACAATCCCAGGAATCCTCTTGAGCAATTTGTATTCTTTAGAGCTGCATGTTTGCCACTTTCTTCAAATACATCACAGAAATCTCAATGAAAATCCAGGAGGTGTGTCCAGGACGTGACACAGTCGCCTCTCCTTCCCACAGGGATTCAGATATTCCTCCCAGGAATTTGTTGTGATCATTCTCTTCCTGATATCCCTCCATGTGCTGCCATGTCCTGATTTTTAGAGATTTCCTTTATGTCTATCCCAAAGCTCTTTTGTCTTATTTTATCCACTTCCTCTTTCCCATCCCTATTGAAATGAAGGATAATTTAGGAGATGCCACTTGGGGATAATGTTTACAATTTGAAACACTGCTTTCTTTTATTCCTAAACCACATTAACCCACTTCTCACAATTTTTCCCCCCATTTTTCATGTTTTCTGGGAATGCTTCTGTTCTCCCCAGCTTTTTAGAAATGTAAAAAGAGACAGCACCTCTAAAAACCTCTGTATGAATTTGAATGTGTGAGGAGGAGCTCTACAAAAAGATTTAAATATCATTTCGATTTCACCAGCACAAACTGATGACCCTGATTTATTTTTTTGTTGAGATGCTGCTAAAGAAAACTGTGGACAATTGATGTGAAAGATAAGGATTGGATGGAGAACTTCGGCCGCTGATTTCCTGTTATTTGTTTTGGCAGGAGAGTTCCACTGTGGCTTTGAGGATGGGAACATTTGCCTTTTCACTCAAGACGACACCGACAACTTTGACTGGACAAAACAAAGCACTGCCACGAGGGACACGAAGTACACCCCCAACACGGGGCCCAACGCCGATCGCACCGGCTCCAAGGAGGGTAAGATCCAGCAGGCAGGAATGTGGGATAAGGGAACTGTCCAGGCCAGGGAGTTTGGACATTTCTTGGTTATGGAACCCCGGATTGATTGGGACAGGAAAGGATTTAAGTTCATCTTAATTCCACCTGTTCCATGGGCAGAGACACCTCCCACTGTCCCAGGCTGCTCCAGCCCCAATGTCCAGCCTGGCCTTGGGCACTGCCAGATATCCAGGGGCAGCCACAGCTGCTCTGGCAATTCCAGCCCCTCCCAGCCAGGAATTCCATCCCAATCTCCCATCTATTCCTTCCCTCTGTCAGTGAGAGCCATACCCAGAAAGCTGGAGTTCATCTGTGGGGAGATCTGGGAAGCAATGGATCAAATCCATGTCCCTCAGAAGGCCCCACTGCTGCCCCTGGCCCTTTGTCACACAGGGCCGGGACATCTCAGGCTCCTTCTCATCCTGGTCCTGGAGTTTAAATGGAGAAGATCCCAGAATCCCAGACTGGTTTGGATTGGAAGGGACCTCAAATCCCACTCAGTACCAGGAATTCTTTCCCAATATCCCATCTAAGTGTACCCTCCTTCACTTTAAAGCCATTTTTCCTTCTCCTGTCCCTCCACCCCTTCTCCTAAATCCCTCTCCAGCTCTCCTGGAGTCCCTTCAGGCCCTGGAAGGTGCTCTAAGTTCAGACCAAGACCCTTCAAGGACTTCTAGAAGGAATTCCTGGTGCTGAGGAGTGGCAGCTCCCAAAGCACAACCCCTGATGGTGCCATTCCCACCTCGCCTCATTTTTATTGCGCCATTTTCCGAGCGATTCCCTTCACGTTCAACTCAAGCAGGGAAATGTGGCTCGTCTTAAAACATTCTCCTACCTGATGTCATTTAAATTCTCCCTTGGGCTCTCTCGGCCTGTCACGATGAGCTGGTTTTTGCCCCATTTTTGCTCTGGCTATTGTTCAAATGTGCAGTTTTCAATCTGCTGCCCCCGTTAACATCTGCTCCTGACTGCAGCGTGGATTTGCATTTGAAAAGTCCGTCGCTTCCAGCTGAATTTACCCCGACCCCGCAGTAGCTCCGGCTATTTTATCGTGTGCACTTCCAAAGGGGAAAAATCTGTCCTGCGCCACCTTTATCTGGTTGGGTTAATTCAATAATATCTCTGTGGCTGGCACTTCCAGGAATGGAATAAATGGATATTGTCTTCTTTGGGATTGACACGACAAGTTGGAAATATTCCATGGAAGGTTTCCATCATGATATTTTCCCTTTATTTTACAAGTCGTCTTTCCCGGGATGTATTTCCCCCTCAGGACTGAAGGCTGAACCCCCTCAGATTTTGTGCAAAAGTTTATCAGCTTGGTGGTGTTTTCCAGAACCAGCCTGCTTCCTGGATTTTAGTTTCCATGGAAAACATGGCTTTGGAGCAGCCTTTGGAAACCCAGGGGTTTCATGTAGGAAAGAATGAGTCCCAAAAATGACATGGAGGTAGATGGAAGTAAAAACTTTATGGGGATCCTTAGTAATTCCAAATTGCGGTCCTGCATTTATCTATGTTGGGTGCTGAGGGCCTCATCCCAAGGATTTCCCTTTGGATTTCTCCAGGTTTTTATGGGTACATCAAGATATCAGTTGTTGAGGGCCTCATCCTAGGAATTTCCATCTGTGTTGGGTGTTGAGGGCCTCATCCTAAGGATTTCCCTTTGGATTTTTTTCCAGGTTTTTCAGTGTAGATTGAGACATCCCAGGTGCTGAGGGCCTCATCCCAGGGATTTCCATCTGTTGCATGCTGAAGGCCTCATCCCAATGATTTCCCTTTGGATTTTTCCAGGTTTCTACCTGTACATCAAGATATCCCAGGTGTCAAGGGCCTCATCCTAAGGATTTCCATCTGTGTTGGATGTTGGCCTTATCCTAAGGGTGTCCCTTTGGATTTTTCCAGCTTTTCCGTGTACATCGAGATGTCCCAGGTGTTAAGAACCTCATCCCAATGATTTCCTTTATGATTTTTCCAGCTTTTCCATGTACATCAAGATGTCCCAGCTGTTAAGAACCTCATCCCAATGATTTCCTTTTGGATTTTTCCAGGTTTTTCCATGTACATTGAGACATCCCAGGTGCTGAGGGCCTCATCCCAATGATTTCCCTTTGGATTCATCCAGGTTTTCACACATACACAGGTGCCGAAGGCCTCATCCCAATGGTTTCCCTTTGGATTTTTCCAGGTTTTTACATGTACATCGAGACGTCCCGTCCCAGGCTGGAGGGGGAGAAGGCCAGACTTGTCAGTCCCGTTTTCAGCGTCGCTCCCAAAAATCCCTACGGAGCCACCAACACGGCCTATTGCTTCAGCTTCTACTATCACATGTATGGACAGCACATAGGTGAGAGAAAGCCAATTCCTTTGGGAAAAATAGCTGGAAAAACTCCCTCTTGTTTGAAGGAAAAGCGTGGGAAGAGCGTCGGCCCCTCCGAGGGCTTGTTGTAACCCAGGGAGGTGCCTGGAATGTGGCAGCATTCTGCTTCCCAGGAATTTGTGGGAAGGAGGAATTTTCCTCTTAGAGCTGGGAAGGGTTTCCTGCATGAGTGAGATTTTGGGCAGGGAATTGCACAGGAATCCCATTGATTTGAGTGGGAATTTAAGAGCCTGGAAAGGGAAAAGTTGATTTTAACAAGGATTTTTCCTGATTCTAACGGGATGTTTTAGGCATTCCTGAGGATCAGAAAGGGAGCAGCAGCATTCCTCAGGTGTTTTCTGTGGAAAAGTCATGGGAAATTTACTCAAAAGCTGCAGGAATATGGATTTTCAAGGAGCATCTGTGAGTGTTTCAGGCATTCCTGGCTAAATTCAGGATCAGGCAGGGAGCAGCTTCATTCCTCATGCATTTCTTGTGGAAAAGTCATGGAGAATTTGCTCACAGACTGCAGGAATCTGGATTTTCAAAGGATACCTGCCAGTCTATTTTTAACCCTGCCTCTTTCAACACCCACATCAAATTACTCTTTGTGGTACGAAAAAAAAAAAAAAAAATAGTAGGAAAATACAAAAGCCTGAACAACAAAAATCCAATTTCTGGGAGCCCTTTGTGGGTTTCTTGGTGCTCCCAGCGTGCCAAGAGGTCTTCCAGTGTCAAAGTGACGTGGTTTGATGTATTTTTACCTCTATTTCAAGGGCAAACTCATCCCCCCAGAGAGTTCTGGTGCTTGCTTTGTCCGAGTTCCCCCTGCCCCAGGCGGAGCTCAGATTTTAAGCGGAGCAGACAAGCGCACTCAGGGGTTTTTTTTCCCGTTGTCTCTGTGCTGCAGGAAGGTGGATGCAGCTCCAGGTTGGAATTCTCCTGGCTCTGTGCTGGGTTTTTTTTTTATTGGGAGGAAGGGATTCAGCCACTCCATGCTGAGAGAAAAAATGGAAAAATTGCAATATCTGGTCGTATTCTGGTCGTTTATTTGTGGTGTGTTAAGAAGAACAAATTAGAAACATAAAGGGTTAAAGATAGATTTGGAATTCCTGATAAATATTTGGAGTGTAAAGTTATTTGGGATAACGCAAAGAAAACAGGCACTGAGGTTTGTCCAAAAACAGTGGGATTTGGGTTTTTTTTCCCTGAATTTCCTCTTCAGCAAGTGTTTGTCCTTAGATTTTGGGGTTTTTTACTGGGATCCCCCCTTCCCTGTGGAAATCCTTGAATTGGCAAGGTAAGGAAGGATCTGGCCCCAGGTGACAGTGGTGGTCCGTGACCACAAATCCACTGGATTTATTCCTGGAAATGTGGGCACAAGTTCCCAAAATTCCAGATTGCTCGATATCATGTTAATTCTTTATTTTTTTAAAAAAAAAATACAGTTCCCATAATTTTAGCCAATGTTCCAAATTCTATTCTCTAATAGAATCCCAGAATTCCAGACTGGTTTGGGTGGGAAGGGACCTTAAACTCATCCCATTCCACCCCCCTGCCACGGCCAGGGACACCTCCCACTATCCCAGGGTGCTCCAAACCCCATCTAGTGTGGCCTTGGAAAAGCTCAGGAAGGTTTTATACATTGGATAAATCCCTGGAGGAAGAGTGTGGAGAAGCTCAGGGATGCTCAGGGACAGGAAATGGGAATAAACTGAAATAGAGAAAATTCCATTCTCTTCAACTAGTGAGGGTCAAACACTGGCACAGGTGGCTCAGGAAGGTTGGGAAGTCCTCGGAGATTCCCAAATCCAGCTGTATCTGGATTAATGAAGAATTAATCCAGATTATTAATTTGGAATGGAAATGCACTCCTTTAATGAAGCTGTGCTTTGGATGGGACGAGCTCCAGAGGTGCCTCCAGCTCCAGGGATTCTGTGGAAAATATTGAATTGGTAATAGAATCTTTCAGAATTACATTTTATTAAGGATTAATCCACCATGGATAATTCCAAATCCCATTGCTGGGACAGATTAACTGTTTGATCACCAGCTGTCCCAGGCCTTGACCCTTCACCGTGGCTTTGGGATTTGCTCCCAATGTGGAGAGGAGCTTCCAATCCCCCTTTGGGAATGAATCCTGCCAGTCAGGGCAGCTCTTGGCTTAAACATTCCCAGCTCATGGATTTACCCACCAGAGCAGGGTCGGAGCTGCTAGCTGAGCTCCAAACACCACAGAATCCTGGAATGGTTTGGGTTGGAAGGATCTTAAATCCCACTCCATGGGCAGGGACACCTCCCACTGTCCCAGGCTGCTCCAGCCTGGCCTTGGGCACTGCCAGGGGCAGCCACAGCTGCTCTGGGAATTCCATCCCAGCCCCTCCCAGCCAGGAACTCCTTCCCAATATCTCATTTATGATCTCTGTGCTGTGGGATCCAGAAGATTCCCAAGAACAATCCAGTACCAGGGTTGTTATTCCCATGTTTTAGGGGCAAAGCACTTTGTTTCCAAAAGAATCCTCATCAAATTGTTTCTACATTTCCAATGATGTTTGGAAAGGTCCCTGAGAAAATGGGATGTGATGCTGGAATCATTCTCTGTTCCTGGTGTGGATTGGTTTTGGGATTTAAAGGAAGTGATGCTTCATCCTCCGTTCCTAAAACTGAGGAATCCCAGTGGCATCCATAGGAGAATATTCCTATTTTAAGTAATTCAAACCCCTTTATATTTTTTATCCAGCTCAGCTTCTGGGCCAGCTCTTGGGATTCTGTGCAGAAGGGGCTGAAATTTCCCTGGAGATACAGAGAGGTCCTTGGGAACCTTTGCAGGGGGCAGAGTGCAGAGATGAGGCCATCCATGAGGGATGTTTATCCCAGAGATCTGTATCCCATTCCGTGGCAATGGGATTTGGGAAAAGAAGGGGTTTCTTCACCTGAAAAGGGAGCTCCTGCTCCCAGGTGGGATTGTAATTCCTGACAGATCCCAAAGTTACTCCTGGGGGCGCTGGCTGCCACAGGAACCGGCTGTGGATCCAAAGGAGAGGGAGATTATCCCTGAAGGATGGGAGAAATAGGAATTCCCGTTCCTTGACTTGCAGCAAACAGGGAGCCATTGTTGGAAGGAGGAAGATGAAGATTCTCTGTCCTTCCTGTGTCCCTGCACCGGCACAGGAGGAATTTGCACATCCATTGGAGCTGCCACCACCTTTTCCACCAATCTCTACTTCCCGTTTTTCCATCCACACCTCAAAATGGGACATTTCCAACTGATGTTCCAAGGACAGCCGTTTTTCCTGCTGTTAGAGAGCCATCCCAAATAAAAAGAGAGAGGCAGAACCTGCTGGGAGAGCAGAGTGGGAAAGCTGAAGGGCCAAAATGCCAAGATTCCAGAGCATCCCCTGCTCTCCTGATAGGACTTTGTTCCTTCATTCCCAGTTTTTATTCCTGGCCACTGGTTTTACCCCCTGCCAGTCACTTCATGGAATCACACAGTGGTTTGCGTTGGGAAGGACCTTAAAGCTGTCCCTTACGACCCAAGCCAGGCCATGATTCCATAATGATTTAATTTAACATAATATTACAAGATAACATTACAAAAACATCAATATAAATTAAAATACAGATATCCAGTTCTCCTCCTGTTTTTCCAGGAAGTTTGAATGTTTACCTGCGGCTCAAGGGTCAGACTGCCATAGAAAACCCCTTGTGGTCTTCGAGTGGGAATAAGGGACAGCACTGGAACCAAGCCCGGGTGAACATCAACCCCCCCACCTCATTCCAGGTAAGGCTGGCGCCTCCAGGAGCCGGGAATTCGGGCCTGGGAGGGAGACTGGGAATATTGATGCTTTTCTTTGGGATTTCCCAGCTCTGGAAGCTGCTCAAGGACAGAAAATTGCTTTCCTTGAGCACCACGGAGCTTAACAATGCTTGAATTCAAAACACTTTCCAGCTTCCCAAAGATGTCGGGAGTGACTCCAGCAGGTTTTGATTTCAGATTAGCAAGTGGAATTTAAAATTATTCGTTGGGAGAAATAACTTAGGGCCCCTGTGTTAGAGGTATTTTGGAAATACGTGGAATTTCTGAGGGAAAAGGGATGATGTGGGAGTGCCTGCTGGGAGCATGAGACACGGGGGCTTGTGACAGGTTTTTCACACATTTCCTGCTGGGGTTGACAGGGAGGTGCTGATGGACCTTTAGGGGCAATTCCCAGGCACACCAGGAGCTGTTTGGAACTGGAACACTCCCAAAAAAGCAGCTGCTGCCAGCAGGTCCTGCTGCGGGTGAGGCTGGGAATGTCCTCATGGAACGTGGGAGTCACAAGCCGTGCCCGGGGTGCAGGGTCCTCCTCTGACCTCTCTGTCACTTCCGGGTCTCCTAAGGGAGAAAATGTATTTTTGGGAAAAAGTCACAGATTGCTTTGGGTTTGAAGTGACCTTGAATCCCATCCCATTGAATCACATCCCATTGAATCCCATCCCAATCAATCCCATCCCAATCAATCCCATCCCATCCCAATCAATCCCATCCCAATCAATCCCATCCCAATCAATCCCATCCCACCTGTGCCATGGCCAGGGACACTTCCCACTATCCCAGGCTGCTCCATGCCCTGTCCAGCCTGGCCTTGAAAGATTCCCTTTGGTGCAAATCCAAACTGCTCTTCTGAAAATCCACATTGGGTTTCACTTCCTTTATTTTCAGGGAATTCCTGATCCTGACCCTTTGTTTTTATTTCCATGCATGAGAGGCATTGACAGGAGAGAAATGGTTTGGTCCATGGGATTGCAGAGCAATTCCAATGGGAATTAGAGGAAAATTGAGTGGGAGGGATACATGAAATACAGTGAGATATGAGAGAGCTGGGAATGTTCCCCTGGAGAAGGGAAGGATCCAGGGAGAGCTCAGAGCCCCTTGCAGGGGCTGAAGGGGCTCCAGGAGAGCTGGAGAGGGACTGGGGACAAGGGATGGAGGGACAGGACACAGGGAATGGCTCCCAGTGCCAGAGGGCAGGGCTGGATGGGAGATTTGAATTGGGAATTGCTGGCTGGGCTGGAATTGCCAGATTTGCTGTGGCTGCCCCTGGATCCCTGGCAGTGCCCAAGGCCAGGCTGGACATTGGGGCTGGAGCAGCCTGGGACAGTGGAAGGTGTTCCAGGCTGGGAGTGATGATCTGGGATGTTTGATGGGAATGGGGAGAAGAGGAATTGCAGAGTTCAGGAATTCTCAGAGCCCAGGCCAAGCACAGGAAGATCAGAGTGGTTGAGTTTTTCATTGGTGGAGTCGGGATAAATCCAAGAATTCAGAAGAGTGAAGGACAGAGAAGTGATTTAATACCTGAACACCAAAGATGCCCTGGGAAAGGGAAAGAAGAGATGGATTTGAGGGTTCTCAGGGGGTTTTGGAGACCTGGGAAGGGCTTTAGAAAATCAGGGAAGAGCCAGACCCTTGGGCAGGGAAATGCAAAGGATTTGGCAGCAGCAATCCAGAGGAGTGGAGGAAGGAGATTCTAAAGGGAAGCTCCTCTCCTTGGCTGTTTTTCACCTTTTGCGTTGTTGTGTTTAAAGGTTTCAGCATAAAATAAATGTAAAGCTCTGACCAAATACAACAAATAAATGTCAGAGCTCTTGGAGCCTTAAATTACTTTTTTTTTAGCATCTCTTGCATCAAAGTAAATTTTATTTTCCATTTAGGAGTGTAAGTAGGAAGGGATATAAAGCTCCCAGTTAAATTTAAGGAGAGGGAATGGAAGTGAATCTTTGCAGTAAAACACTGCAGTGACATGAAAATTAAAACTTTTTATAGGGTAATTTATAGGGGTAAAAGATTTTATACCTTGTCAGTGCCTGTGATATAGAACAAAGCTTTTTTCATGAGGAACTGGGAGAGCTGCAGTGCTTTAAATCACAAAAACTTGCATAAATCTAGCTCAGATATTCAGATGTTCAGTATTTTTTAAGACTGAACTCCCCAAAAATAGAGAGCCCCAAAAAGAGGACACCTTGGTTCTGTCATCCAGGAAATGTCCATTTTAGTTCAGGTTTGAGCAGTAGGACATGGCGATGGCATGGATGATTGGGATTGGATTTATTGCTAGTTTAGGGTCTAAATATTGCAGTATCCAAATAAAAATTCCAGGATTTTTCACAAAGGATTTGGATCAGCAGGTCCTGGCCCCTCCTGTTGGGTCAGTGCCACCCCCTCTTGTCTGAGCTCTGGATGGGGCTCAGCCCACCCAGGTTTGGCCACTTTTGTGCCCAAAGAATTCCAATATCAGCAGGATGAGCCGGGAACATCCGGGTTTGCGGCCCTTGGCCCCGCAGGATTCCCAATCCCAAATCACAAACCTCTTGTGGAGCTCCTTTAGGATTCATCTCCGTGTTTGAATGATCTCGGTGCTGTCACTCACCCATCCAGAAGGGAATATTCCCGATTTTCAGGCTGGAGGAGTCCCTGGCAGGGGGAACATGGAACACCAGTTTGTCCCAGTTTTCCCAGTCTCCAGCAGCATTTTAACCCCTTTTTCAGGTCGATGTGCACCAAACTGAAACCTCTCAGCTCCTCACTTTTGTCCCGGGACACCCCAAGTGCCCGGCAGGGAAAGGGAGATGGGCAAGGGGGGCACACAGGGGAGGATGTAAATCTGCCTGAAATCCTGTGGAAAAATCAGAGTATCCCAGATTGGTTTGGGATGGAAGAGATTAAAAATCCACTCATCCCACCCCTGCCATGTCAGGGACACCTTCCATATCCCAGGCTGCTCCAAGCGCTGTCTAGCCTGGCCTTGGACACTTCCAAGGATGAGGCAGAAGCTGAATCCTTCCCCAAAACACTCAGGATTGGCTTTTTAGGATCATAATTCCATTTCATTAAGAGCAGAGTGACCTTTCCGGTACCCCCTATTCTCCAGTTTTTTAACAGCAGTATTTTCAACAGCAGCTCCCCAAAAATCATCATGGGGTTTGTTTTTTGTGGGATGTCGATAGGGAATTCTGCTCCACTGGCAGCTCCTGGCCATCCCTGGGAGCTGCAGGCTGGGTTCTGCTCTGTGCCCTGCCAACTCCTGTGCCGTGATTTGTTCCGAGTGTGGAGCAACCCCTCCCTGAGGGCCACCGAAACCACTGCCAAATGCAGCTTTTAATTAAACGCTGCCTGTTGTGTTTGGACAGAGCCCTTTAGGCTGGAAATTGTTTTCCATTGTCTGGAAAAATTGGACTTTCAACTCCACTGATTGGTGTTGTTCCTGCTGCCAAGGAGCAGGGGCAGGATTTTGGGGGAGGAGATGTTTTCCCCTCGAGATCCCGGCGCGATTTCCTCTTCCAGCAGTTTGGTTTCAGACGGGGAATATTGGAGAGAAAATCATCAACAAGACTTTAAAATCCCAGTCATCCACTCAGCAGAGGTTAAAGTTCCTCTTAAATTGGAATCAAATCTCTACTGTGTCCCTTGCTGTGATAAAACTCATCCCAATTCCTCTGAAAAGCCATTCCTAGATGGAATCAAAGCTTCTAAACCTGATGAGAACCCACGTGTTGGGAAAAATAGATCCTAGCATGGAATTTCCTTCCACCATCTGGAATTGGATACTTGCGTGTGTCTTCATTTAAAGAAAAGTCCTTTCTTTTTGTGCTGTTTTAAAAAAGGTGGGAGAGAAGTGGGGCTGTCCCTGCCACCAATTCCTGCCCCAGCAGGAGATCTGGGAAGTTAAAATCCACCCAGGAGATCTCAGTGGGATCCAAATGAAAGGAATTCCCTTCCCTTGAGGAATTATCTTCCCCTGAGATAAAGATAACTTCGTGTTATGGATGCAGAGACGCCAGCCTGGATCCTGGGAGGTTTCTCCCAAGCTTTGGGTCTGGAGAAGGATGCAGGGGACACATCCTGTCCTGCCCACCAGGATGGGAGGGACCGGTTGGGTCACCTCCAAGAGCCAGAAATCTCGGTTTTCCATGGAATTTCTCTGGCTCCTGTGTGTTTTCATGGAATCTGAACTTGAGTGGATGCTCAGCCGTTCAGCACATTCCCCAAGCTGTGCTTTTGCTGCTTGCCTCAGGTGGCAGGAATTTCTGGGAAAAACAATCTCCTTAAAGCTTTAATTCCATGGAATCCTGCTCTTGGCCAGAAATCTCAGCTTTCTGTAGAATTTCTCTGGCTCCTGAATCTGAATGAAATCTGAATTTGAGTGGAATCTCAGTCCTTCAACACGTTCCTCAAGTTTTGCTCTTCAGGGAGCAGGAATTTCTGGGAAAAACACCTCCAGTTTTAACGCTTTAATTACATGGAATCCTGCTCTTTGCCAGAAACCTCAGTTTTCCATGGCATTTCTCTGGCTCCTCTGTGTTTTCATGGAGTCTGAATTTGAGTGGACGCTTGGTCCTTCAGCACATCCCTCAAGTTGTGCTCTTCAGGGAGCAGGAATTTCTGGGAAAAACTATCTCCTTAAAGCTTTAATTCCACTGGACCCTGCTCCTTGCTCAGGAGTATTGTCCTCACACAGCCACAGCACCCAGTGGTGGAGCTGCCCTGGACACACCAGGTGACAACTGAGGATGATTTCCAGCTCATTCCAAAGAGGAAAAGCCCTCAGAGCTCTCACCCCCTCCTTGCCCACCCTTACGTTGATGAGAACTCGGCTGAAATGGTTTTCCCACCCCAAAAGTGTCCATAGAACATTCCAGTCCTGTTTAATTGGTTTTCCCACCCCAAAAGTGCCCATAGAACATTCCAAACCCATTTAATTGGTTTTCCCACCCCAAAAGTGCCCATAGAATATTCCAATCCCATTTAATTGGTTTTCCCACCCCAAAAGTGTCTGTAGAACATTCCAAGCCCATTGAATAGTTTTTCCCACTCCAAAAGTGTCTATAGAACATTCCAATCCCATTTAATTGGTTTTCCCACCCCAAAAGTGCCCGTAGAACATTCCAAACCCATCCCTGTGGCTGAGCCAAACACAACAGAACCTTTTTTATTTATCCCTCTCAGATCTTCTGGACACTTTTTATTTATCCCTCTCTGCTCTGCTGAACTTTTTTCAATTAATCACCCTCTGATCTCCTTTTTTTCCAGCTCATCTTTGAAGGAATCCGTGGCCCTGGAATCGAAGGGGACATTGCTATTGATGATGTGTCCATTGTGGAAGGAGAGTGTATGAAATCAGACCAACCGGCCAACAGTAAGTGGCCCTTCCCCACAGGTTGCTTCCCATCTTTCTACTTCCCAGATGGATCTTTTCCAGCAGAACAATCCCTGCCCTGGTTCAGCTGGAAGGATGGAATGTTGTCCTTGGGAATGCTTTGCTCACAAGGGAAGATGATGGGTGTGAGGCAGAGGTGAGAGCAGTGGGGGAGGCTGGGCTGGATTTGAGATACTCAGGCAGATAAAACATCAGAACAATGTCCAGGGGGCCCAAACAAGGTGAAATCCATGGATATCACTGCTGTGATTCCCTGAGGGCTGTCTCATCCCTCCACCCTGTGTGTGCATTAAAACAGAGGTGAGTACACAGCCAGGTGGATTTTCATCCCAGTTCCTGCTCGATCCAATTGCTGAGGGCTGTCCTTGTCCCCTCCTGCTGGGAGGTGACTTTGGAACACTGTAGCAGTGCCAGGGGGTGTGGGCACCTCTCTAATTCTATTTTTCTCCCCTTTCTGCAGATCTACGATCAGGTGCTGTTGGGCCATTAGCGCATATACGACTTCTCCCACTCCTCATCCTCATGTCTGTCTTAAGTCATCAGAGGTGACCTTATCCTGGCAGAGGCTACAAAAGATTCACCAGGCACTGGCATGAAGAAAGAGTCTTTGTAAAATGGACATTTCCAAACAAACTACCAAAGATTCCTCCACTGACTGACTCGAAAGTTAAATAAACGCGTAAATAAATAATTAAAAAAGAAAAAAAAAAAAAAAAAGAACAGATTAAGAAAGCACTGGGGACTTGAAAAGGCGTCACGGGAGTGGAACTCACTAAGAACCAAGCTTGAGACCAAGATCTGGCCTAAGTAAGGAAGAGACCTTCAGGTGCTTCAGTGGTCACTGATGAATTCAGCATCATCTGGTTGAACTCTCGGCAAAGAGCTCTAGAAACCCTTGTCAAAGCACAAAGTCATGGCTGGTTTTGTTTCAAATGAATCGTTTGCTTGTTACCATGGAAACCGAATGGCCTGCCAAAAAAAAAGGAGGAAGGAGAGAGAAAGAGAGAGAGGAAATACAAACACAGAGAGAGAGAGAAACACCTCACTGTAAACAGGGTACGTGAAGAGCTGGCGTTCATTTTCCCTTCCCGAAGGTTTTTAGCGTAGAGTTAAACAAATGTCGGCCCTTTCTACTTCGGCTGCCACCTCCCCTCGAGGATAACCCGGAATCGGAGCTGTTTGCAGACATTCCCGTTTCATTCCTCACGGCTCTGCTTGGTGACTGTGCGCTGTCTCCTTTTGCATGCATTCCCATCCAGGACGTGCCACCTGGGCTCACATTTGTCACAGGCTTCACTGGGAGTTTGCTCGCGGCCGCTGGAAGATCCCTCTCCCCTCCCCACCGGAGTCATCAGCTCTACGGAAGTGAAGAAACCAAACCACCGTCTTTTATAAATTGCCATGGAAACCAAGTGCCTTCAATGAAACAAGCCTGATTTCAAAAAAACAGAAACAAAAAAAAAGAACTATATATATATATATGTGTATATATATATATATATATATATAACATAATTCTAATAAATGTAATAACGATGATTTCAACACGGAAGCTTTGCACCGCTAAAAACGTGGGTTGTGCAAACTCTTTTCTAAACAAACTCTGGAGCCTGGGTGTGCAGGCAAGGAGACGGAGCCGCTTCTGGAGAAGGATGGATGGACCTAAGCTGCTGTGGAAAGCCTTTGGGATGAGATCCGTGTTGTGTCACCTTCCAGACAGCCATGGCCTTTCAGCTTCTTATTCATTCGGAACAGCTCCCGTAGGTGCTGCCCGTGGGAGCAGCACTTTCTGTTGTTGTCGTCGTCGTTTCAGGTTCTCCAGTGGGTCAACCAGAGGAACAAAGGTGGTTCAGACACACACTTGGTGCAGAAGGTGGTGAAACACGGGATGATTTTCTTACTCTCCCCCTCCGTTGGGATGGCTCCCAACATCCGGAGCTCCGGACGCCCCGAGGGGGCTCTGCCTCTGTCCCGGAAACCAGACTCGGTGCAGAGGGTGAAAGATTATTTTGTTATTGTAGCGAAATTCAAAAAAACAAAACAGAACAAAAAATTAAAAAAAAAATAAAATTAAAAATAATCCACTTTTACAAGGAGAAAAAAAAAAAAAAATAAATAAAAGCTGTACAAAATGGGTTCGAGCTACCCGAACACATGCCGGTTTTCCACTGCATTGTAAAGTTCCCTTCCAGTTGGTTATGAAATTTGAAGACCTTTTTCCTTAAATTATCTCAGCTTTTAACTTCATTTAAAAAAAAAAAAAAGACTTTTGTCTAAAGAAGAGTATTATTATTATAATTATTATAATTATTATTATTATTCTGTGTTCTCTCGACACCCTAGGATTAAAAACAAAAACCTGATATGCAAATAATTGGAGTACAAATGTGAAAACAAACAAAAGATGAGTATAATAATTGCAAATATGAGTATAAAAAGCACAACGAGATGCAGTAAAACAATGACAAGGCTTGATTTTTTTTATTCTGTAGAGAAATGTTTGTGCAAATTCAGTAATTCCACTGAAGAGATAATTTTCCAGCTCTGTTCAATAAAGCCTCTTTCCAGGTAAGGCAGCCCCGTGGTGCGTGTGTTTGTTGAGGCCCTGGAGGGGCTTTCCTTGGTCGACTGGTGTCAGCTGGAGTTGTGCTGGTCCATACTGGCGGTGCTGGAGCATTCCCAGGATGCTCTCGGCTCCCTGGTTTTTAGGCAGTTTTGGTGTCTTTAAGTTCCTGTGCTCAGAAAACAGTGGGAGCTCCAAGTCGGGACATTTTCAGAGAATTTCAGAGGTTTAGGTCGGAAGGGACCTTAAAGTTCATCCCTGGAATCATGGAATATTCAGGGTTTGAAGGGACCTGCAAGGATCATCAAGTCCAAATCTGAACCGAATGATCCACATAGGGATCAAACCCCAAACCCTGGGGCTATGAACATCTTGCTCTGTTTGGAAGATGGTAGGAACTCCAAGTCTGGATGGACTGTGGGGTTTGGAAGATGGTGGGAACTCCGAGTCTGGATGGACCATGGGGTTTGGAAAACAATGGGAGTTCTGAGGAGTTCTGAGTGTGGATGGACCACAGGATTTGAAAGGAAGTGGGAAGCTCCAAATCTGGATGGACTATGGGGTTTGGAAAGCAGTGGCTCTGACTCTGGTGGACCATGAGGTTTGGAAGATGGTGGGAACTCTGAGTCTGGTGGCCTGTGGGGTTTGGAAGATGATGGAAGCTCCAAATTTGGATGGACTCTGTGGTTTGGAAGACATCGGGAATTTTGAGTCTGGATGGACTGTGGTGTTTGGAAGACTGGGAACTCCAAGTCTGGATGGTCTGTGGGGTTTGGAAGGAATTGGGAACTCAGAGTCTAATGAACTGTGGGGTCCAGAAAGTGGTGGGAGCTCCAAGTCTGGATGGGCCATGGGATTTGGAAGAAAGTGGCAGCTCTGAGTCTGGTGGCCTGTGGGATTTGGAACTCTTGATGGACCGAGGTGTTTGACACCCTTAGCACAAATCATGGAATTTCTCATGGGAAGCTCTGGATTTTACCTGTGGATGGATGGATGGATGGATGGATGGATGGATGGATGGATGGATGGATGGAGATGTCTCCTGAGAGCCAGGGAGCTGAGGGGTGATCCAAGAGGTTTCTCCATGGGTGATTTTGGCAGGACTCTCTTTGGAAGGGAGCCAGAGTGGCTGGCTGTCAGTCATTTCCACAGAATCAACCCCACAAGCAGGGACACCTTCCACGAACCAGGCTGAAGGAAAACAGGAAGCATTCCATTGCCTTTAAAATACTTCCCTGCTTTTCCCTCGAATTTCCCTCGAAAATCCAAACTGAACCTTTGATGCCCACTGGAGATGGATTTTCCAGGCACAGGGCTGGCGGTGGTGGCGTGATGGGAACTCCGTGGGAAGTCTGGATTTGGGGAGTGCCCTGTGATTCCCCCCTGTGATAAAGGAGTTGGATGATAAGGAAGCAGAGATCCCGCTCCGTTGTTTAGATCCCAAGCTAAAACTGCAGGCTGAAATCCATGTTTCCTCTTTCCATTTGGGTTTTCCTTTCCCTCATTCCCGTGGAATATTTGATGAAGAATTTCAATTGACAAAGACCACAGATGTCTTTTTTTCAGGGCAGAATAATCTGTGTGTCCCGAAAATCCCAGGTTTTTTGTGGGAAAGGAAATGTATTCCCATGCCTATTCCCGTCTTACTCTGGGGTGCAGAAGGTGCTAAGAAAAGCAGGATTCCTCTTCCTAATGTTGATTGTAGGAGTTGTTTTATCTTCTTTTACATTCCCAAAATAAAGCACTGAAAAGAAATGGGATTTTACTCCAGGCCATGAATAAGAAGAACAAATTGAGATATGAATTTCCTACTCTTGGCTTTTATTTTATTTTACATTTTGGACTGAAAATGGATGTGAAAATGTTGAATCAGCAATCAAAGGCAGTTGGAACTGGCAGTTCCCTGGAATTTGAAACCCCTCTGATTCAGTTCTGGGGTATCCAACCTTGAAATGTCCCTGATGGATTTTTAAACTGAACATCAAATACTGAACTGTGCAGCAACTGAAGTCCTGGGATGTTGGGAAAAGTGGCTGGGTTTGATGGGATGGCTGCAGGAATTATCTGGGTGTTCCCAAGGCAGAGGAGGGTGGAGAACAGAGTAAATTTTCCAGTTTTTTTCAGTTTTCTCAGGCTGATCTGGGAGGATAAGGACGGCATTGGAGAACTTTCCTTTTTCATTCACAAAGCACATTGAATGGGAAATCATGGAATCATAGAATTTTGGAGTAGTTGGGCTGCAGGGACCTTAAATCCCACCCATCCCACCCCAGCCATGGCAGGGACACCTCCCACTGCCCCAGGCCGCTCCAGCCCCAGTGTCCAGCCTGGCCTTGGGCACTCCCAGGGATCCAGGGGAAGCTTCTCTGGAGAACAATCCCACATAAAATCATGAAACACTCGGATCTCACCCTGCTACCAACCCACCTCTTCTCCAGCCTGGCCTGGATCCTGGATGGGACACAAGGAGGGATAAAACCATGGATTAGAAGGGAGACACCATGGATGAACAATTAGGAAGGCCACAAGTGTCTGGGAATGTGAAATTTCCTTCTAATTTAAGACAGGAACTACTGGTTCCCCCAAAAGTGATGGAGCTGCATCTTCCAGCCCCCAAACATCTGCAAGTCCCAACCTCCACTGATCCCAGAGCTTTCCTTGACATCCAGCATTGGAATTCCCACTGCATCCACCATGGAGATGGAATAATCAGTTTGGGGGTGACTTTAAAACAAAGTCAGCCATCATCTTCTTGTTTTTTTTCTCTTTTCCTGCCTAGTCAGGACAGTGAATTCCCTCTGTAGGGAGCAGTTCAGGCAGAAGGATCCAATTTTTTTCCATGCTGAGTGGAAGAGGCTTTCCTGGTTTTATTTTGGGAGAGTTTACTGGCTGGGAATATTTTTTTCTTATATTGAAGGGTAATTGAAACTCTCTTCTTCCCCCAGAAGCGTGTGATCTGTCAAGAAAACAGCTTTTTGGAGAATTTCCATATAAAAAAGCTCCAGTTTGGAGTTACAAGCACTCCCTTTCTCTCCATGCTAATAAAGAGATTGGGAGCCATCTGGAATAATTCTTGGATTTTCCCATAAAACTATCAAAAGCTATAAAAAAGGTTATTTTTACATTTCAGATTTTTTTTTTTTAATGGAAAATAAGCAACACTGCAGGAAAGTTCTCCCCTTTTTACGTGTTCCACCACGATTCCAGTGTCCACACGGAAGGAATTAAACCATTGGATTATCCCTTGTGCAAAGGAATTTAGGGACCTGCAGCTCCTGCGATCCCAAATTCATGGGATTTACAGAGTTTGGAAGTTTTCTGTCATCTGTCCCTGACTGTGTCACCCCCAGATCCCATGGGAATGTTGGTGTAGGCAGGGAATTGTGCTCTCTATGATAAAAGATGGGAGCAGTCATTAACCCAAACACAGGGAATTTGGGATTGTACATCCTGCTGTTCCTTATTAAAATATTATTTTGTTTTCCTTTGGATCTGTCTGACTGGGGAGTTTGGATTCAACACATCCCAGAATCCCAGAGTGGTTTGGGTTGGAAAGGACCTTAAATCCCATCCAGTCCCACACATTCCATGGGCAGGGACCCTTCCACTATTCCAGTTTCTCCAAGGCCATCCCACCTGGCCTTGGATATTGTGTGTGACATTAAAACTCCAGTGAGAACAGTGAGGCAGTCACCAGTGAACACAATGGACTCCGTAGGTGTGAGGAGAAATTCCCTCTTCCTTAAGCACCTCTCCTCAAATTCCCTAAAACATCCCTGTTCAGCCATGGTCCACCAGTCATCTCCCGCTGGGAGCAATGTCATGGAATCATAGAATCATTTAGGTTGGGAATTACCTCCAAGAACATTGAGTCCAACCATGCCCCAGCACAGCCAAAGCCACCACTGATCCATGTCCCCAAGTGCCACATCCACAGGGCTCTGAAATCCCTGCAGGAACAGGAATTCCCCACTGCCCTGGGCAGTTGTTCTAACACCTGACAATGATAAAATCCATCTCAGATTCCTGATGAGAAACTGAACCCAAAATAGGACCATTTGTGTTCCCTCTGGATGGGTTGGGATGGATGGATGGATGGATGGATGGATGGATGGATGGATGATGGATGGATGATGGATGGATGGATACATTCAGGTTGGCTTTCACCTCACAGGACCCATGGCAGGTGATTTCCAACCAATTTCCTTTTCCAATCTTTGTAAGATTTTATTTCCCATTGAGAAGGAGAGTGGAATGTTGAGTGCTTGGACAAGTGACTCCTGAGCTCTGCTCACCGCCAAGGTCATGGTTACAACTGGAGAAATATTCCCACCCATCCCTTGGGATCCAGGATTTTTTCAGGCAACTTTCACCTTCCACAGATGGGAGGGAAAAACAAGATCACTGCATCAGCCACACCTGTGGAATTTTTGGATGGATACGACCACAAAAGAGATTTGGAGAAACACAGATTCTCAAGAGTAAAGATGAAGAGCCTCAGCACCTTCTCAGGAACACTCAGATCTGTGGCACGCTCCAGCTGCAAAGGGGACAAGCGTAGTATTTGTGTCTGTAAATACCCTATAAATACCTGTAATTGGATGTATTTAATTGTAAATAGGATAACGAGGACATTTTAACAATCTCCGCTGTTGTACAGAACCCGAACTTTCTCTTTTATTTTCCTACACCCCCGCTGTAGATTGATTTTGGGTCATTGTTGGGTCTGTATCTGGTTGAGGTCTAAATTGCTCTCACTTTTACCTCAAGGGTTTCATGTTCTTTATGTACATTTTATAAAGAAAAAAAGAAACCACTCCAGATTTTTGGGTACCTTGTCCATTGCCAGCAGTATTTTCTGTCTTTTCCAGTGTTTTCTGCTCCTGGATCCACCAGGATGAAGGGGAAGGATGGGGTTTGGTGAGGAATATTCCTCGTTCTGTGTGTCCCTGCCTTCCTGGGAGGTGTAAAAATGTGGGAATGTGTTTCCCTATCCTTCCACTGCTCGTTAAG